GCTATCCGGGATGAGCCGCGTATCAGTTGATTGGACTGACTGATTCGGCCATCTTGCTGTGGCCTTATTCAGAGCTATACTGCTGCCAAGAGGTTGGCGTGTCTCATCTTAAGGAAAGGCGCGTGGGCCGACTTGGAGGCAGTGGCGGCCAATCCGAGGAGGGCGGGTGTCCCGTGATTGGCGGAGAAGGAAAGGGTGCGATGGCGGGTGACCAGCTGAGGTAGGGCAGGGAAGTGGGGCGGAAGGGTAGATAATAGGAAACTGAACAGGACAGACACCTGGAAGATGCATTTGTGTGGAAGGGAACGGTGGAAATATCGAAAAAAGGATGGTCCACCGGGCGGCCACGTCATTGGCCGTCCGCGGGTGAGGTGTCTCCGCGGGGCGGGACCGGATTGGCGGAGGGCAACGGCCCGTCTCCACGTGTTGCTGAGACGGAGACCATCATCTCTATTGAGGTTTGCGGGCCTCCTAGAGATTTCCAAAGCCTCTTTGATCAGACGGGTTTCGTGGTAATTGACCAGGTGACCCGTTTCGGCGGCGTGTTGTGCCAAGGCCGACTTGTGGCTATGTTGAAGCCGGTCATGTCGCATGTGCTCCCGCATACGCTCTTCTACGGTGCACCCGGTTTGACCGATGTAAAGTAGACTACAGCTGCACGGGACCATCAGCTGCACGAGACGCCGGCATCTTGAAGAGGGTCCAGACGATCCTTTACCTGTACCAGGCTCCTCCCGATCTTGTTGCGAGCGTGAAACACGGGGAGGATGTCGGCTCTGCGCAACACTACCGATCTTGTCCGTGACTCCATTGATGTAAGGCAATTGGGCTGTCTTGCGGGGCGGGCTGGAAGGTTCGTTTCGTGCATTCGATGTATTAGAGTGGAGCCGCGAAAGGGCTTGATTCATGGCGGATCCCCTGTAACCATTAGCCAGAAAGGTCTTTCTCAGCAGTACCTTCTCAGACGCCAGGCTGTTGGGGTCACATATAAGGGAAGGTGAGCAAGTGTGGAGAGGACGCCACGTTACGTGGAAGGATGGTGGTGTGAGTCGGCATGTAGGTAGCGGTTGGTGTGGGTGGGTTTGCGGTATACAGAATGACCGAGTGTGCCGTCAGAGCGCCTGGTAACTAGCCCGTCCAGGAAAGGGAGCTGCCTGTTTTCTTCTATTTCCATAGTGAAGTTAATGCGAGGATGGATGCTGTTGAGGTGTTCGATGAAGGTGTGAAGAGATTCGGAGCCATGGAGCCAGAAGACGAAAGTATCGTCGACGTAATGCAGCCATAGCGATGGTTTAAGGGGCGCGTTTTCTAGGGCCTGTTCTTCAAAAGCTCCCATGAAAAGGTTCGCGACGACCAGGGACAGCGGTGAGCCCATAGCCTTCTGTCTGAGCGTAGAACTCCCCCGTATTGGAAAAAGGTGTATGTAAGGCAGATCTCAGTGAGCTTGGCCCACACCCTCGGAAGCTGATTTAGCGTTAGGTTGTCTGTGACAATCTGGATCGCGTCACTTACTGGCACCCTAGTGAAGAGAGAGGTGACATCGAAACTGACCAGGATATCATCAGGGCGTATTCTGGTGGAGCGGATGAGTTCGACGAAGTGTGTTGAGTGAGTTGAGGATGGAGGACGGAAAATGGTTGGTGAGAGGTTTCAGTTTGTTGGCCAGGAAACGGGCTAGATGTTGGGTAGGTGAGTTGATGGCACTGACAATCGGACGGAGAGGAACATCGGGTTTGTGGATTTTGAGCAGGCCATAGATGCACGGTATGCGGTGGTTGTTGGCATACTTGAGGATTTTCCTTTCTTGGTCGCTAATGGAGGAGACCTCGTTTATGCTAGACATGACTTGTTGCCTCACCCTGCGTAATGGGATGTGGTCCAGTTTCGGGTAGGTTGTCCGGTCACTGAGTAAGTTGGCCATCTTGGCATGGTATTCGCCGCTTTCCATGATTACGGAGGCGTTGCCTTTATCAGCGGGCAGAATGACGATGTCATTTCGCTGCTTAAGGTATTTCAAGGCCAATCTCTCATCATGGGAGATATTACAAGTTGGGGGAGTGGTGCGGGTCAGGATTGCGCTCGTCTCCCGTCGTACGTATTCAGCACAATCTTCCGGTAATCCACGCAGCGCTGTTTCAACGGCGGCGTTGACGTCATCAGTAGGGATCTGCTTGGGGGTGACGGCGAAATTGAGCCCTCGGGAGAGTAGTTGTTGTGGCAGTGTCAAACGTTTCGCTGGTCAAGTTGACTACTGTGTTGCGGAGGACGACTTGGGCTTCCGGCCGAGCACATTTATGCTGTAAGTCGGTGAATTTTCTCACCTGTCGGCTTCTCGCGGTGTCTTGCGAACTAACAGCGTTGTTGGAATATATTCAGTCAAGTCTGTCCCAGTCTTCAGGCCGTAGGGTGTGGCTGATATTCAGGTGAAATCTGTAGAGTTCCTGCTCAATAGTCGCGATATCCGATCGTGTGTGATGGATGCGCTCCCGTAGTAGCTGTTCGCTGGTACGCCGGAGGATCCGTTGAGCCGCTCTGGTCTTGATGTGATGAGAAACATTGAGAAATTTGGGAAGGGCATTGCAGTCGCGGCAACGTAAAAGGAAGGCGAGTTGACAGAGCCTCTTAGCGCGAGCAATCCTCAGTTGGCTGAATCTTCTGGTGGATTTAAACATACACTCCTCGTAGAGGTTCGTCATATGCGTTCGTAGGCTTCCGTTCGTAGGGAGATGAGACACGCCAACCTCGTGGCAGCAGTATAGCTCTGAAGAAGGCCACAGCAAGATGGCCGAAACGTAAGTCCAATCAACTGAGACGCGGCTCATCCCGGATAGCCAAGAATACATTGACTCCGGCCGCGGAAGCCTACGAACCCGTAGCACCGCTTTAACCGCCGGGCCTGGCCGTGCCATCGCGCTGACAGAGGGCCCACAACGGGCGGGTGGGTGACGCAACGGCGCAGAAGAGGAATCGGACCATAGGTTCAGACGTTATCGGTAAAGTAAATTTTACTTATTTTGGTGCTGCCACGTGGTGGCTACAAATTGTACTAGTGTCGGGACATTAAGCCTTAAGTCGTCATTCGTCGGCCCTGTGCGAAGGCTTTCCAATAAGTTGGCTGTATCTGTTTTTTGGGAGACACATCCATGATTGTCATCAGGAATATTTTACCAGAGAGGCGGAACACCTTGATTTCTCTTACTATTATCTTTTTTATCATGCATTTGCAAAGTACGGAAAAATGAAATTCTGAGCCATCAAACCATTTCTTTTTTTGTGAATAGGTATAATTGAGGCTTTCAACCATTCTTTCGGTAATTTTCCTTCAGCGAAGGATTTCTCCATGCAGAGAGTGGGCTGCAGATGTTTGATGTACACTTTATCGAAAAAAAAGATGTATGCCATTAGAACCCGAGTATGAGTTTGATTTAAGTTATTACAGGGATTCTAGAACTCGAAGTGTGAAGGAAATGCGATTAACACCTTCAATAGTTCTCGGTACTGATGCAATTGTAGGTAGATGGATGATAGGTTCCTAAACAAAAGACTTTCAAACTGTTTTGCAAAGATGTAAACTATTCTGATAGGGTCCGTAGATTGGTACCCATTATCGTGAAGTAACGCATAAGGAGCAGGGTCCATTGAGGACATATCTTGAGCATTAAAGCACGAAATATCTTAGGTTTAGGTACGAAGATCTAGAAGACCATTTTTATATTTCTCTCTGGCTTGGTTAATTGCTTTCGTAACGCCATTACTTAGTATAGCACAAGTGTGTAACTGTGGAACTTTAATTTTCTGATCATTTATTCCAGAGTAATTTCTTGTCTTCAATTAATGTTTTTTAGAATAAAGGTTCATCCAAGGTTTATATCCTTTCGAGATAGGTTATTTTAAATGAGACATTGATAGCAAATGTTTCACAATTCATCTTGGGGGTTCTGTGGATTCGGCGCTCCTCGGGTTCCGTTTACGCTGTGTAGATTTTCAAAATTTATTTTGTAGAAAGTTTCGAATGATTTCGTCTATTTACACTCCCTAATCCTCTTCATTGGTGTGCAATGTATTAGCACTAAGAGGTCACCTTAACCAATTTTTATTTATTTACGTCAAAATCAGTTAAAAACTGTGTGACGTGCTACGGGGAGAAGTTAATTTGAAGTTACATTTATGTCCAAAAGCAAAACAACGGGCCATCTCAGCATTTGCTCGAGGATCAGGGAAACTGGACGAAAACCTGATCAAGATAGGGGTCATTGACCCAAAAGCTGAAGTACAATACTTGTTACAGTTTTTTACAATTATACAATCCGAATTATATAGAATACATTAAATGTCATAGTTAAAATTAATATTACTTTCCTTTTGGATGCTCGGTAGAGTATCTAATTGTGTAGAAACAGTTGTTCAGCAAAAAAGATTGGGCAGTTGAAAATCACCCAAAACCACTGAGTTCTCTGCTTGTTATCTTTGGGAAATGTGTTTACCGCTATTTGCTAATATCTACGCGATTGCAACTAGACTAACGTAAAGTTTACTCACTAAACTGCAAGATTAGTTGTCTATGCGATATTGTTTTTGAGTAAAATATAAATATTTTAGTGAAAAAGGTAAACTTTTTTTTGTTTTAACTGTTTATTTATTAACAAGTTGACTAGTGTGTTTTAGGTCTTAAATTGCAGTTTACCATCATCACTATTTATTGGTAATAATTTGTTATACCATTTTTCTGATTTAAATTTAACCTAGAATGTTGCGGAGAATACTTTTGAATGACGCTCCATCATGTTCCTGAGATCAAAACGACGGCCTGTAGCATTCATCAATGGTCTGAACTACATGATGTTACACTTATTCCATTCTTTGTTACAGGTCAGCATGTCTCAAATTAAAAGTGGGATGAAAGAAATCCTGATGGCCCTGAATCAGTGAAAACTAGTGCTCCAGTGGAAAGCCCAGCGGTGCGTGGGCGCGCGTGACGACGGGGAGGGGGTCGCACGCACGTGATGGAGGGCGCCGCCCCGCGTCGCGTCGTCATGCGAGCGCAGTGACCCCCCAACCCCTCCAAACCGCCGCAGCCTCTCGCAGCTGCCGCCAGCGGGGAGGGGCGAGGCGGCGGCGGCGGGCGGGCGCGGCGGTGCGCGTGCAGTAGTCAGCGCAGATCGAAGCAGGTCGCTCGCGTCGCGCGACGTCGCCACGCCCGCCCTGCGAGCTCTAAGATGCTCACCGTTTTCCCATTTCGTGGACGCAAATGAAATAAAGGACACGCCCTCGTCGGTTCGGACGGCCGAGGGGCCTTGAGCATATTACACCGGCTTAGGGGGCTCAGGGCGTCATCTGGTGACACTGCAGCACCTCTGACTGGAAGGATCTAAGGTTCCACGATCGACGGTGGCAGGATTTTCGACAGTAGCTACATAGCTAGGGAGAATTCAGCCGCTGTCTGGAGGAGAATTCTAGGGTCCGGCTGTTACGTAGTTTTCCGTGACGCCAGGCGAATGCCGGAATAATACTCTAAAAACGGGCCAGGGATTGTGCGCGATATTTCCTTTTTCTTCCTTGTCCTATCCTACCCCTATTTATACACATTTGACACAGTTGACCATACTCTACACCACCACAAATGCCAGGAGACCGATAGGGAGCTTAGAGCTTGTCCCGGCGAGGGTGGGGCTCTGGTGGTGGGAGAATCCCGGTTGAAGGAAAACCCACTAGCCAACGGGTAGGTTGGCGTCGGATCTTACTGACCGGGGGAGCCTAGGTTTAGAGTCCCAACGGCAGAGTTTTAGACACTAGCTACATAGCTAGGGTCGAGTTCAGCCGCTGTCTGGAGGAGAATTTTAGCGCCCAGCCTTCCTGATCGGCAGTTTTCCGTGGTTTCTTCGATCATCACTCGGCAAATCCTGGAGCAGGAACCTAACAAACGGACCCCAGATGATCTTTCCTTCCTTTCCCTAGTCCTATGTACTCACGTATTTACACCTACATAAACTATTTCATTTCCTAATATTTTTCATTATTTAATTGTTTAGGATGTATTATTATTTATTTGTAGCTTAAACCTACAACTTGATCGTTTATCGCCTAGTTCAAGTTCTCTGAGCGAGACACTTGATACAATGAAATAAGGTTGTCCACTCAATGCTCCACAAAAGACGAGCATTTTTGTTGTTAAAACGAGGTGAAATACTGATGAAGTCAAATCAAAGAGTGAATTTTTATATGATTGGTTTTGAAAGTACTGTAAGTCTGTTGTAGAAACTTCAAAAAAACATTTCAGCCATTTTTTAGATGACATTGAAAATACCTGAGAGACTTCACATAGAGTACTCACACACAAATTAAAAAATCTTAATGATCTCCGGAACGACACAATTAGATTCCATACCAAGTTTCTGCCCAAAAGCTTCCATGCATTCGACCGTTCACACAAACACCTCGATTTTCGAGCACAATGTAGCGTGTCTATCCTCTCCAACTGCAGCGATCATAATCATCTTTGGAACAGCGCTAATAGAACATAATTATGAGGTGACTGCGGAGTTACAGCTCAAAATAATTGTAAAAATTGATTTTGCAACCGAAAATTCAAGATTGTATTGTTGAAGTGAATCCATAATTTTTTTTCGTACTACAGTGCAGGAAGGAAAAGTAAAAATACCATAAGGTAGTCTAATGAACGCAGTTTTCATTATTACAATCAAACACGACACATCTATAGTGGATTTACGTAAAAAATACCAACTTGTGTCAACCAGCTCCGGTCTCCTTTACCTTAACAAAAGAGCCACGGATCGTCTGCGATCTTTCGTTCCTTATCCTTGTTTTCTTCTCTTCCGTTATGTACACACATACTCATATACTTACAACACTTTACAACATTTCGAGAGACCAGTTGGTACCTTTGAGTCTGCTTTGTGTCGGCTGAAGCGGTGATCTGCTGGGGAGACACCTGAAGTGGGAAACTCCGCAAACCGACGTGTAGGCCGGGTCCGGATTTCATGTTCCAGAAGGGGAGAAACAACGCTACTTCCAGAGATGTAACAGGTATCACACTTATATTTAGATTTATTCAGTCAAAGAACAGTAAAAACTGTATGTGACGTAGGGGGGGGGAATATTATTTGCGCACGTTTTCTTGGGTTCTAGAATCCCTTCCCGTCATTTTAACTATAAATAGTTGAAAGGTGAGTAAAATGTTAACATAAATAAATAAATAAAATAAATAAATAAAATAAATAAATAAAATAAATAAAGTAATAAATTTTAAAAATCGTAAGATAATCAATATCTAAAAAAAATTTTTTTTCGTTTCTGAGTTATAGAGAATAATACTGCATCGGTACACGAATTGCAAGGATGATTTTTCTGCAACAAAATAGCAACTCGCCCTTACTTCTACGCTTACCATCACAAGCAAAAGGAGAGATAACAAAACGTGCGCAGAGTGAAGCTACATTTACGTCCAGAAGCAAAACAAGGGGCCATCTCTGCATTTGCTCAATGGATCAGGGAAACTGGACAAAACCTGATCGAGAGGGGGCACTAATAACCGTAGTAAAACATGCGCCCAGAAATATTAAATAATCAATCAATAATAAAACAATAGCTCGCATGGTTTAAAATTGGAATGAATCATGCCGTGCGAGATTATGAGAAATGATATATCTGGTGTTCTTTGAGAGAAATCTTCTCCACTGAAGCTGATAATTATTGATTCTAAAACATTCAACAAGGCCACCGGGCAATAGATTAGGGAAATTGCAAGACCGGGTTTGAGGCTGATCATGGAAACAGAAGGGAGTAGAACATTTTCAATGTTCTCTTCAGCCTATGTGACTTCGATCTATTCACTGAAAAAACAAGGTTGTCTTCTACAAGGACCATCCTGGAAGTTCTAGATTTCTTCTTCGAAGACATTCAGAAAAGTAGTATTGCACCTGGCATTCTGCATTTTACAAAAGTGTGTCAATGCAACAGGTGCATTAGTTTGGAATATAGGAAAGTACTTGCACTACTTTTTATGATATCCGTAACACATTGTATTAATACATAGTATGAGTAGAACATAACAGAATGTAACAAAAAACTCCCGCTATTTCGGCTGATCGAAGTGATTAATGAGTTTATATTCAGTGATTATGTAGTGAAGGACTCGAATTTATTCCTCTATATTATTCGCTTTCTTTACTTTCATATTTATTGAATTTAGGAGAACTAGGATATCGGCATCTGAAACACTGAGACGATTCATTAATGAGTGATTCCAAGGAGTAAACTGGTAAGGATATTAGTCCCGTAAAAGTAGGGCAAGGAGGTGAGGAGTATTGCGGGAGGTGGCGATTATTTTCCCCTACTGGAGGGCGAGATCCGGTGCCGACCTATCGTCGAATTACGAGTTTTCCCCAACGAGGCATTTCCCACCAGCGGGGCACCGCCTCAACCGGGACAAGCTCTAAGCTCCCGACCGGCCTCCCGGCGTGTGTGCCGGTGTAGTGCACGTACGTGTGTACAGGGGATGAGTATAGGACTAGGAAAAGGAAGGAAAGATAGCGCTCAGTCCGTGGACTATTTGTACGGCAGGTACCTATTTGTATTTGCGGCATTCGTCTGGTGTCTGGGTCCACTTAACCCAGTGAAGTTAAGGCCCCGGTCTTTAGACCGAAAAACATTTGTGGTTAAACATTCATTTTAAAATCAATGAATAAACTGATGTGAATGATAAATAATTCTTGTGCAAACCGTTTATAATAATATGTGATACTAAAATAGAGGTGGAATCTTTGTTGTCTCCTGCCTGATCCTTCACTGATGATAATTGTTCATATCAATAAATGGGAATGCGTAAAACACTGTTATAATATATAGAAAACATCACCTAATGGCAATCTGCGGGAATCAGTATGGAGGGCAGTAGGAGTCAATTAACAGAACGGAGTATATTTTACTGTATTGTGGAACAATTATTTTATTACGAAAACAGCGTAAATGGGCTAATAACTCACTCGCAGATGGATAAACAGGGTGTTATAAAACGATAAAGAGAATACTCAAGTTGATAATAATGCAGCCATGAGAGGACACAAGTCATTGCAGAAGTCATTGGAACATTCAGTCCAACCAGGCGGAGGCAGAAGGCGAGAGGGCCGTACCTCATCGACTACGAAGGTCGCATCCCTCCTTGAACACGGATTTTAGTTGTTTTGATATGATTATTTAACCGTATGCCAAGGTTTACGATGGGGCTAATATATGCAACCGAAATATGACGATGGTATAAAGCTAGTTCCCTTTTTAAATATTTATTCCTATGATAGCGTGTAAAATAGACGCACGCTCGTATATGGAAGCCGAAATGAAAATCAAAAAGGCAACAGGGTAATTTTCTCAACGGTAAAATAATGTATCTGATTAAAAAATGATTAAGTAGAAAATGTTCACGCGGATTCAATTGTCTCTGTGAAATACCATTGGATATTGATTGCGTTCTTATTCCACTGTCCTAGTGGCGAAGTCTGCCCGAAGGCAACTGCGGGTGGTGAGCAGGGGACCGCGACGCGGCTGGATTGCATTCGAAGCGCAGCGGCGCATCCTTCGCGGTGGCGGGGGGCGT